TTCCTTCATTGAAACTTCATCCACTTCTAAAACTTTCCTTCACTGAAACTTCATCCACTTTTAAAACTTTCCTTCACTGAAACTTCACCCACTTTTAAAACTTTCCTTCACTGAAACTTCACCCACTTCTAATACTTTCCTTCACTGAAACTTCACCCACTTTTAAAACTTTCCTTCTCTGAAACTTCACCCACTTCTAATACTTTCCTTCACTGAAACTTCACCCACTTTTAAAACTTTCCTTCACTGAAACTTCACCCACTTTTAAAACTTTCCTTCACTGAAACTTCACCCACTTTTAAAACTTTCCTTCACCGAAACTTCGTCCACTTCTAATACTTACCTCTTCCTAAAGTTACTTAATCTCGCTATCCAACTAATTGTAATGAAACATGATTTATTGGTGTCCACAGAACCACTTATTTAATTCTATAAGGATGTTTAACGTATTACATGAACATGTAACCAAACTATATATATATATATATATATTAACATGTAACCAAACTATATATATATATATATATATACATGTAACGGTGGGTCGGTTTCCGTACTTAAAATCCTAAAATCTGGGTTCGATTCCCCGTGATAGACAGAGCGTAGATAACCCATTTTATAGATTTGCCCTAAAAAATAACAACAATAGTAATAAAAAAACGTAAATCAATCTAGTAAGTTTTCAAAACAATGTTTATTTCGAATACTCTAGTCGACAAAAACTTCACGTGCGAAACAACGACTGGTGAAAAGTGTTGTGCCTTCACAGTAGGGGTTAACATCGTTCTTTAAGTTACTAAGTCTTTCTTTGTCTCTTTAGATGCGAAAATGTTCGTTTTTTATTATATTTTCGTCTTTGACACCTCTTCCACATTTCACCGGGCCTCGGCATGGCCAAGTGGTTAGGGAGGTCGCAATCTGTGGGTCGCGGGTTCGAATCCCGGTCCCACCAAGCATGCTCGCCCTTTCAGCCGTGGAGGCGTTATAATGTGACGGCCAGTCCCACTATTCGTTGCTAAAAGAGTAGCCCAAGAGTTGGCGGTGGGTGGTGATAACTAACTGCTTTCCCTCTAGTCTTACACTGCTAAATTAGGGACGGCTAGCGCAGATAGCCCTCGTGTAGCTTTGCGCGAAATTCAAAAACAAACAAACAAACACATTCCACCTTGGCATCTGGCAACTAAATAAGACACACATCAAAGTCAGCACTAACATTAAACTTAACATCAACTTCTGAAAGGAACCAGATAAAGTTGAGGAAGTGACCATAGAGAATCTAAGTATGTACCACAGTGCTCCGCGGTTCCTCCGCCAAGAGGAGCGTCAATGTGAGAAACATTACACTGGTGTGTTTTTTTTTTTTTTACAAAATACCTCCGGTCAACTTTCCCTCTGTCAACTACTGGTTCTTAAGTAACGAATTGTAAGAAATAAATTCCAGCATGCCCGAACATAGCTAAATACCCACGTGGAAAAATATCTATAGAAGGGGCACGTGTCCCCTCCCCGACGCACGTTTATGCTTGCACTAGGATTAGAACGCTAATTGAAGGGGGCACGTGTCCCCTTCCCGACGCACTTTTATGCTTACACTTGAATTAGAACGCTAATTGAAGGAGGCACGTGTCCCCTTCCCGACGCACGTTTATGCTTGCACTAGGATTAGAACGCTAATTGAAGGGGGCACGTGTACCCTCCCCGACGCACGTTTATGCTTACACTTGAATTAGAACGCTAATTGAAGGGGGTACGTGTCCCCTCCCCCGACGCACGTTTATGCTTACACTATAATTAGAACGCTAATTACAACATCACAAAGTTTCTGTGTGTGTGCTTCTGTACAGCAGCCTCCCCCCTTGATAAAGGTGTACCACCGAAACGTTGGGAAATAAAGATGTATTTTAAATAAAGTCAAAGGTCATCCACTTATTCAAACGTATCGCCAATACTCGAGTTTGCAACACTAATAAAACTGGAAAATGTTTCCATTTGTAGAAATATGTGTGAACTGGGTGGTTTAATCATGCTCAGTTAACATTAATAAAATAACAACTTCTGTTTCTGTATCTCTGTAACGTGCAAAGGCTGAAACGTGTTAATCTGTAAAAGAAAATTAAAAAACATGACTACTTATGCTGTACTTTGATCGACAGAGAAGAGAGAGACTATTCACAATAGTTAACACGGATAAAAATAAAATACCAAAGAGGGCGTGATCACGAGGAGCTGTTGTTGATACATTGCAAACTACGACCTTAGATAAGATATAATTCAAGTTGTATCATTTCAACAGAAACAAGAAGAATTCCGTTCCAATGGGTTACGCAGACACTGTGATACAATTGTATTTAACAGAAATCATAAATTTATCGGGGTACTTTGAACCATTCCTGATAAAAAGGAACTTGTAGGAACTTTGATTACGAATAAATTTCTCTCGTGTAACTAAGTTTCCAGTAAAACTTCCCGATCGACAACGTTTTATTTTTCTTAGACAATTTGTAAAGTCTTAACTCTAAATTTGGTACGTATTTAAACATGTAAAGTGAACACTTGCTAGACTTAACTCTAAATTTGGTACATATTTAAACATGTAAAGTGAACACTTGCTAGTCTTAACTCTAAATTTGGTACATATTTAAACATGTAACGTGAACACTTGCTAGTCTTAACTCTAAATTTAGTGCATATTTAAACATGTAAAGTGAACACTTGCTAGTCTTAACTCTAAATTTAGTGCATATTTAAACATGTAAAGTGTAACTACTTGCTAGTCTTAACTCTAAGTTTAGTGCATATTTAAACATGTAACGTGTAACTACTTGCTGGTCTTAACTC